TTCTATGATTCTACATATGAGGAAACCAGTAAAATAATCTCTTGAATCCCAAATCCTGGTCTTAAATAAAATATGCCTTTTTAATATTAGATTGTTTGAATATTTGGGTTTTTTTTAACATTCTCTAAAAACCAAGAGATATAGTCTAATATAGTAAATCACTCTCAAGCCTGCTCTGAATTCTCCTTTATTTTGAGAAGAATTTTTGCCCTTTTGGGTTGTGCAGAATCTATTTTAAAAGCAACTGAATGGTGTGCTGCTCTCTTGGTATTGCCCCAAATTAACCCTTCACTCAGAGGAGGAATGCTTTCATGTCCTTCTCATGGGGAGGCTCAAGACACAGTACTGTTCAGAAAGTGCTTAACAGCGAACAGTAGCAAAATACGTGAATTTTGTTTGAACAGATACACAGGACCTAATTCTGAAAGCTGAGTTTTGTAAGACAGTAAACCCGCGCTGTAGTGACACCTCCGCATATCACAGAGTCCTAAAGTAAAACCTGTGATTTCCAGGTCATGTCACATGCGTCATCTCATTTACCTATCACAAGAGCCTGCAGGTTGGGCATTACCTTTCTCATTTTAGTGATGAAGAAGCAATGTTCCCCACGTCAATGACCTACATAAGGCTAGGTGGCAGGGCTGGGACTCAAAGCCCACCTGGTGAGTCCAGGTTCAGGGTGCTGGTGACCACTCTGCAGCTGCCGGGCTCTTTCTTAGCGAGCTGACACATTGGAAAACAGGTCTCAGGATTTTACGTTAAGTCCTGGGGAAGCAATGTGGTTTTATTTGGTTTCTGAGCAAAGGCTTGCTCTCTTAGATTCACACGGGGGTCCTCAAACTCTGTCCAATCCATAGGAAATGTCCTGAAAGATGGGACGGCATAATAGTCTACCAGGCAGGGAAATGTCCACTCTTTGCCTCCGCTGACCAAAGCATGCCAGCCTAAGAGGCCAACGTGACAACTACCATGACCTGTTGAAAGAGCATACCATCCACTGTACCTTAAGTGGCTCTTTTTCCATGATACGATGTGAAATACTGTGGAAACGATGAAGAGGGCGCAGAGGCCCACCCCATAAATCCATGCTGTTATCTTTTCCCAGCAGTCGTCAGACAGCCAGTGGAGGAGGGCACTGCCCACGATGGCCGGGACAATGAGGAACTGAGAGAAAGGGAAAGGAAGGTAAATATTCAGTAAAACAGTGAATTAAGGACTTTGCTAAAAATGCTAGGGATAATTTAGGAAGATCGTTTTAAAATAAACATCTGCCTTTTCTGGATAATCATAACAAGAGCCAGATGGAGTCGTCAGTTTGCTCCCCAGAAAACAGGTACTGTACTGTTCAGGGCCCAGGAACTGTGCCCACCAGTGGGTACCCGATCAAGCAGTAAGAATGCAACATTACTCAACTGTGGCAAAACAAATGTTCTTTACCCTAATTTTGTTAGTGATTTAGGGAAGGCACTTAACGTAGTCAAATGCCAAGCATACACCAAGTTCCCATGGAAGTTCTGATCTTTAAATATTCTTTCCCGTTTCCCCCATGAGCTAATGAAATCCCAGTATTTCAGCAAAGGGTAACTAAATGGATCAAGTCAGTAAGAATTATAATGTGCACACCACACTC